CGAGAAAGTTACTAAAAAACTTAGATTCATAAAAGAATGTAAATATTTGGTATCTTTCACTTTTAAAACAGTAAAAGTTCCCGTAAGTAACAATCTTCAATCTCAATTCCTTGAATCTAAATGCTGAAGTACTTTATATAAAATATTAGGGACATATTGATTACAATGATATATTACAAAGTTCTTTAACAAATCATGGCAAACAACGTTCTTAAACAGAGTAAAAATAAAAAGTAATGAAAACAATATGAAACTTTTTTCTTCAAATTACGTGAAACTTATTTATATATGAAAGTTATTTTATTTTACTCACAAGTTTGCGTATTCTCTATGTGTTTCGGTCATCGAACTAGTTTTGTCAAAGAACTTGAGTCAACGCTTCTTAAAGCAGGAACTCAAGTGTTTACTTACTATAGAACTAGAGAATGATTTTCAAGTAACTAATATAAAACTTAATCCCAACCACATTTGTTTTTACTTTCAAAATTAGTTATTCCAGGTACTCATAATAGAAAATCTTCAAACCTTTCTTAAATTTTTCATCGTTCAAATGAATTAACTTCATACGACAAGTCATTATTCGACATTTTATTTTCTCTATATCATCTCGCAATGCTTTCAATTGAACTCCTGCACATTGGACTTGTTCAGCCTATAATTAAAGAGAAATAAACACCGCTGAAGTGAAGATGACAATTAAAACACTTAATTTCTGTAATACACAACAATCTAACCAGCTCACGAAATTCTTTTTCTTCTTCTAAAATTGTTTCCACTTCCTTCCGCTGAACTGCAACTCTTTCTTGCGTTTCCTGGAGGGCACGACATACATCACGCAATCTACAATGATAATCAGCATACTACTCCAGTGAATCTTCTGATGACCAATTCAATTACCCCTTCTTAATACTTTATTGACAGATATGTATTAGAAATACAAATGACATAATCCCCACTTTTTCCAACTGCTATATGTATACGAGGGAACAAGTTTTCCCTTCAAAGCACTCGAAGTAGATGGTTTTTCCTCGCTTTCTTCCACCGTCCTCCTGTTTGTCACTCGTCGATGCATCAAAACTTAAACTGTTTCAAACTTTCTGTAACTGAACTGATTCTACCCAACTGGAATCGATAAGTATTTATTTCATAAAATTGAAAAAACATGACTCATAAACATATTATCAACCTCAGTGAACGTCTAATATAAACACTACAAGACACATTGATGATACACCACACAGAAAAAGGAGAAAACTGCAGAAATTTAATATTTCCGAATAGCTCAAAGATAAACTTCAAAGCAATCATAATACAACAATGATTCTACGTCTGGAAAATTTACCTACACTACACTCAAGGTACTAACAACAGATTCAAACACATACATAGAAATGAAGCACTTTCAAATGCTATTAGCTGAACATGTTAATTTGTCAATCATTTTCTCGTAAGGAATTGCAATGGAATTCCAACTGATAGTCGTATGTAAGAATTGTTGTTTAAGAATTCTTTAATAGTAATGTTTAAAATGATAGTAAAAACAAAAGTAACATAAAAAGAATAACTACAATTTGATGAGTAAACTGAATTCACTACAAATAGCTGAATTTAAATCACTTTGCTAAAAACTGACAAAAGAAAAATTTTTGTGATTCGTTTTGACATTGTTGTGTAATAACAAGAAGCCCTCAAACTGACTCACATTATCATTGAAAACTCATTACTGCAACTCGTTATCATCTCAGCATTTAATACTTGAAACTTGATCGAAAAAAGCTTTTCAACACTTCACTTTGATAAATCTCATTTGTTTGGTAAAATTTTCTTGAAAAATCGATAAACCCCAGACTATTCAATGGAAGAGCAAATATAGTACTTCAGTGATTAAAATACGACAGAAATAATCAACACATTTACATATGTATAACTTGTTTTAGCACATACATTATATATGTACTCTATCAATAGGTGCCACAAGGAATGATACATTCACTTTGTCCACGAGACTTTAGGAATATCATTGAATTCAGTCAATTCACTCATTTGTTGGTTAAATTTCTCCACTTTTTCTCGATGACTCACAGCTGCTTTTTTCGCTAATCGTTGGAACTAAAAAAAGATTTTTAACTAGTCTAAAATCCATCAATTCTAAAATCTTAAAATATCACTAATTCAGAATGTCATAAACAAATAAGAAACTTGAAATACGGAAAAATTTTCAGAGAAAAATAAAAGAGAAAAAATACCTAAAACATTAGGAAAGGTTGAAAGCAATTTATACAAAACAAAAGTCAATATTTCGTATCAATTACTGACATGGAAGCATACTTTAACATTACTTTTATAACCATACCAAAAATGTATATTTGGTGTTCCAAAAATAATAATTAAAACAATTTTATTTGAAAATGAAGTTTTCAAACCATGTTAATGGTACCTGATTCATTAGTTGCCGCCTTTCGAAAGCAATTTCTGCAGGCGTTTTATACATCACTGTAGCATCCAGATCTTTATGAATTGTAATATCAATACTCTTCAGATCAATATTTTCCTTTCTCTGAAAATAATCATGAATATCACCTCATAGCATTTTTTCATAAACCGTTACAAAGAAGAAGATATATCGTAATCTGACAGCGCAATATATCTTTTGTGTTTCGCGAAATCTGGCTCAGAAAAATGAAAATATACAAAAATGCACAAAAACATGAATTTTCATGAAATCTCAAAGTACCTTTCTTTCACAACTTAATATTATTGCAATTCAAAGAATATCTTATATTTCAAAGCGTCATTTTAGATGGATACATTCCTCAGACATAAATGAATGAAAAATATCAGAAGTATCGAAATTACCTTTTTCTTGAAATTGTTCTTCCCTTTCTTTAGCTTTAAACCACCTCTAACCACTTCTTTATACGGATCGTTTTCAGCGCTACTCATTCTGCAAAACAAGCACTATTTTGTAAGGAGTACACAACATCCGTTAAGTAATTACGTACGTCAAAAAAATGTCACCTCAGATTTTCTGACACGATGATGATGGTTAGACCGAAACTTAACACAAATAAATGCAAAATGAACCTCCCCCTCGCTGCATAACCGAAAATATCAGGAAACAATGCAAAAATATTAATCGCATATTGAGTATAAACCAATTCGTGCCCGTTAAATTCAGCTACTACTTTGTAGTTTGTACGAGTTCGGTGATGTTTTTGACACGTGTTATGCGTCTTGTATGGATGAAGTAATTGTCACGCCAGAAAAAAGAAGTAGGGGCTATTATGTATTTTATGAAGTAAGACTATTACTTAGTCTTTCTGAGATAATTCGTAACTAATTCAAAACGTAATAATGGCAAGCATATTTGTAATATTACCGACTTAGTGAATTGAGTTCGCCAGACCTCTCGGTCATTCTTCATGACTAATTATGTATTCGACACTTAATTCTATGATTTCCTACTCATGTGCTGTAGGATATTCACGAATTAAAGTTTTGGACAAAAAATTTAGATCTTTCGAATAATTTTTTTTTAAATTGAACAATTATGGATATTAGTATCGATCATAAATGTTTATATTCATAATTATGTAGACAAAGTTTTGATTCAGGGAAATTGAAAGATAAAACTGTTAAGTACTGTTGCAATAGTACTTTATTAAATTATATTAAATTTTTCTTTGATAATTGTACAGTTGTGAGATTTTGCATGCATTATTATAGTTATGAGAGTATGGATTCTGGTTGTGATAGTCAAATGAGTATCACAGTGTCTTAATAGTAAACTTGTCATGTGAAAATGTCTGTATGCTAGTGATGTTAAGAATTTTGACTAATCAAGTTTAAAAGGGATTTGAGATGTAAGATTTATTTGACAAATTTTCTTTAAGAGAACATCACAAAGCTTGAAAATTTTAACAAACTTCTCAAGCATATTCTCTGTACATTAATATTTTGTCATGATTACTTTTAATGTTGTAACTTTCATTTAATACACCAAACTGAGAAAATATGCATAAAAAGAAAAATCAAAAAAAAAAAACCACAGTCAACGCTATACAAATCATTGATAAATAAAAGTCTACACTTACATTAATAACAA